CTGGCCCGCCCGTCGAATCGATCGAAAGCCCGATTCCGATCTGACTGATCTGAATCGGGAAATTTACGATTACCGCGTACGTATGCAGCAACTGGCTTTGAGAGAGAGAGAGAGAGAGAGACGCGTTTTCTGAATTCGAACTTGGTGCGCTCGGTTGGCCCCCGAGCGCGAACGCGAATGTGCCTCATCCGCTTGTCGATCGATCGACGACAAATCTTCGGGTGCTTTCCAGCAAGAGACACAGATGATACAATAGATGCTTTTCATTTGACGATACAAGTCGACGTAAGTATCATTCTATCTTTCTTGATATTCAATGAGTAACAAAGATAGAATGACATACTTGAGTCGACTAATTGTGTCACCAAATAGAAAGCACTCGCAATAACACACTGAATCATTACATTCTTATTATCTGCCAATGTTAATAAAAACAAAGATAATACGATCACTGTGTCGCTTGCCAGAAAGCACCACTCGTCTCGAGCGACGCGATCAACGTCCGAGCGCAACGATTAAACGCCTCGGATAACAATGGGCTCGCGTTGCTCGTCACCAGCGGGGAGTCATCTGATTTAGGCTACGCGGCGGATGCGACCTCGAAAGTCTCCGGACCGCCGATTAAACCCCACGGTGTATCAGCTAATGTATATTACACGGTGTCCCGAACCGTCGCGACGACCCGTTGCGACGGGAGCTTTGACTATTGTAAGTAAATATTGACATTAACATATCGCGAGAGAGATACATATTACTTTGTAACGTTCGGTGTTCATCAGTCAGTCGTCCAGGCCGAAGCGACAGATGGACGGTGGATCGTTCACCATTCGAACGATGCAAAAAAAAAAAAAGAGAACATAATCTCGACCGGCCGGTCGCTTCGAACGGAACAACGAGGTGTGTATGCTGTACGTTCGTATGAAATAAACCTGAGGTATCTTTAAGTCTGTAAAGCTTTCGTTACGAATGTTTGAAACTTGCCCGTTTTTTGTCACCCTCCCTTGCTTCGCATCGAGTTGCCTTGTAGAAATTTAACAGCACTGGCCATAGTTGATCACTTATTGTGAGTATTAAAAGTATTGTAGCTTTTAAACAGTACTTTTAATATTCAAAGTAAGTGATTTAGCCAAGTATTAGTATTTTTCTATAAGGGTTGCCTTCCCTCCCCCTCGCTCGCGGAGGGGCTCTTCCTTTCTCGCTTGTTCTTTACGCGAGGGTGAGGGCACAATTAGAGAATATTTGGCATACGTAATGGCACAGTTCATAAACTTGTACTTGTTTACATTCGCGAAGTGCCATTCTGCGGATAGGTATGTCCGCCAAAATTCTCTTCAACGCGATACTCCTGTCGAGTGACACTCGATCCTAGCACGCGATCTATCGTTTTCTGTCATCGTGCAAAGTGGGATCAACAATAAATCGTACGAATTTCTGAGAGACCATCAAAAATTTATTGCTGCGTGTGTTACTGTGTTTTGTGTGTCGTGTTTGGGACACGATATCGCGTAGCGAATTCGCATCGCACCGTGTTAACGTCGGAAGCTTAAACGATCGGCTAAGCGGCTGGATTATTATTACCGCGAAATATAACACGATCCAATATGTTATTTGTCGTTTCAACCAACGGTTTTGATTCCCGTTTCAACTTTTGCTTAAAGTTCGCCCGATATAGTACACTTAGCGTCACATATGTCTTCATATCAAACAAATCGTATTTAAATATTCATGCATCATCATGAATAAAAATTCGAAATTATTTTTTTAATTGTCCTTTTCATTTTAAGGTCTAGCGTTATTTATCTTTTAAAGATTCAGGACATCAGACAGCTACTGAACGCACTCCAATCATAACGTATTGATGTATTCAATTAAAAAATGTCAGACATCATATAAGATGTCAGAAGCCATACTTGTCGCCAACTGTACGTGTTCGAAAATACGAATGAAGAAATAAACGCAAAAATGCCGAAATTTAAAGGATTAGACATCTCAATAAATATTCTAAGAAGAATATTGTATACTGAACGTATAAAAAGTTTTTTAAAAATGATATTTTTAGAAATACTACTCTACGGATCAGAGCCTTGTAGAGTTTTAAAAATAATTTCTTTTCGGTATTAAAAGTTTCAATGTTACCGCCGCACTTTAACGTTATATATACAGATTGCATAGAATAAAATGACGGTAGAGAAGTCATATTAATAATTAAGTATTAAGTGATAGTATCACTCCTTAGCAGTTTCCGTTTCCGTATTGTCCTCGATAAATTCTGTCTATACATACAATAATTTTGACAGTAGTAAGGAACCTACATGGACGGCAATTATTTTCTATGCTATCTGTAATTGTATGTTGTTCTATTTTGCAAATATACTTTATAACGATTCTCTATATGATTGTGAACACACGATGTAAAAAATTGACTATGATCAAAATTTCAACAGCACCTTAAATTTTCGCATAAATATTATAATTATTATTTGAGTGCTGTTGTTTCATAAATTTATAAAATGCAATAAGAGTTTCGATGAACAGATACAATCAGAGGTAGTATCTTGTAACATACGAGTTGTTCGTCATCAAATTTGCTTGGGAAGAAACAAATCTTTTCTGTGCGACGACAACATTGTATTAAATAGCACAATCATTACCATTGGTAATTTAAAAAAAACTGCGAGTTTCCTCTGGAAAATACGGATACGACGACATTGATTTAAAAAATACTGACAACGCGATGCTTATGGTTTTGAACACAAAGGTAATCCGTTACCTTTTTGCGAGAATTATTGATCTCTTTCCGAGTTATACTCTCGAATCATTGAGTTTAAATTAACGCAATTCGTCAACAGAATTGACACTTATTATGCTAATAAAATCTAAACCCCGTGTCGTGATTATTAATAAACAACAGTAATATACTAATTCTTAATACATTAAGTTCAATAATTATAAAAAAAAACGAGGGGCTATACAAGATAATAACACGTAATATACAAGACATAATATACAAGAATATAATTATATTAAATATACAAGATAATTATACTAACGTACGAACAACGATCGGGAAATTGGAAGAAACTTTTATTAGCGACTGCTGCTTTTAGTATAGTATACATTGCAACATTTCGCTGATTTTCTTCCGTGAAATACGAAATACTTTGTCATTTATTGCATTAAAATCTTAATTGATCCCTCATACGGCAGACGTATTGAATTACATTAAAAACAAAAATTAAGCAATTTTTTTCTTGTGCTATTCAAAGTATTTTTTGTTTCAATTTTTCTCACAGACCAATATCTATAGTCAATATTTTTCTTTCAGTCTATGGATTTAAAATATTTTGATCAATTAAGAATAGTTAAAATAAATTTGTAAATAACATATATCTTAATAAATATAAATATATATAAATACGTATGTACAAAAAATAAGTATATAATTATATTTATAAATTTATTTTACAAATACGATTTATCTCTTTATAAAAAGAGTTCATTTTTATGTATAGAGAACACTCGTATATTTTCTAATAAAATCCGAATTTGATTTCTAATGTAACTCAGTCGACTACGATGAGAAATCAGGAGTCATTAATGTTGAATCCTCTTAGGACATAGCGCTTACTTGCAAAGTTTGTTTCATCAAATTTGTCAACATATAAAATTTGCAAGTGTCCATTCGTTATCGCTACATTAGAAAAATTATCGAGATCAAACGTTGTATTTCGAAATAATCGATTCGAGTGGATAAATCGTCCCGCGAACGACCCGAAGCGAGAAAGGAGTATAAGAAATGACGTAGATTAGACTATACAAATGTGATGTCACCATTCTTCGCGCTCGCGATGTACCGCCTGTTGCGTCAACATATATCGGTCAGTATGTCAGATTATTTTATAAATGTTTTTCTAATAAATATTACATTTATAAAATTAATCGATTGATTACATATTATGAATGTAATACCTTCTCTAGTAGGCATTACACTTATAAAATAACCGACGTGCCTGGCCAATATGTTGATGCAACACGCGGTACATGTATGTATATAAGTGTACCTGTGTGTTTAATGAGTGTATGTACGTGATCTGGAGCGAAATCTTCAAATATTAGATCGATCGATTCAACTGCGCAGCCCTACCCCAATACGCGCGTGCAGCTCCTTTGTTGGCGAACACGGTCTTAGGTCGTCAGAAGGCTAACAAGGCTAAGTCCGGTATACGGCGACGCATGCCGTGCAACATATAGTGCCTCTTTAACGCGCGAGAGAGAGGCTTGAACAACAATTTTTTGAATTATTTATCTGGCAGTATAATTGGTGTATAAAATTTTGTTTCTTCTTTTTTTTTATCTTTCCTCTCATTTCTTTACACGCCTTTGCGCTTTCCTGCTCGATCCGCGGCAGATCCAATAAATTTAGATACAATATCACAATTAGCAGCTCTGTTCCACGCGAGACTTACCAATCTTGCTTGTCTGCGTTCGTTTAGCATTGAACATCGGTCAGACCGAACATCGATTCCGCCGGTCTTCCCTTCGTCCGTCAGATTCGATCGCTTGTTCCCCAGGGATTGGCCGGACGGCGTCCCTGAGGATTGATCTAACACTTTTAGTTCCATCATTACCGAGAGTGCGTTAACGTTTGCGCTCTTAGCGGAAGAAGGAAGATCTATTGCAATGACCTAAGAGACGGTTCGGGAATCAGCACTTCGAAGGACATGCATGCTCGCTTCGAATGCGAGTGCGTATCTCATTCGTACCGAACCAAAAGGTTCTCTTTGTTAGGCGAGTTGGGAGCGAGAGAATGCAACAGTTTGAGGTCGCCTCGCTCCGCACGCCAATTATTCGCTATCTATTTATAATCGAAAAGTCCCTCGTTACGGCTAAGGGACCCGGTCGGAGTTTGCCAAGCGCAAAACACGAACGAGCGGAAATCGTTCAGATAAATCTTACGTCGGTAACTTCCTCTATGAGCACTAGAAAAGTGTTATATCATGCACGATTATCAACCCTATAGAGCTACCCGCCAACCGTAATTATGGAGAGATGTTTCTCTTCGAAACTCGTGCATGCCGTCTCGACGACGGGAAACAGAGAGCAGAGGAAGAGATGCTGCTTTTACGAGCTTTGCATTTTTGCTTTTTCATAAGAAGTCCAGGTATATGCTGGAATAACTCATAGGGTAACACTTTTCGCTACAACCGGCGATATAATTGGCGGTTTCGCGTCTCGTGCTCCGAATGCGGGAGCTTTTATCTTCGACGATGATTGGCATTTGGCAGTTGGTGTTAACGTTCAACGTAGCATTGGCAAACTCTGGGGTCGACTTGACAAGGGTTTCCGCCCACGGACGTACGAACGGGGCGGACGCTTGGCCTATTCGCTGCAGAAACGGGTGCAGGCCTTCTTCCACCTGCATTGAGTGCACCAGAGGTCACGTGAATCCATACCGTAGATCTTGCGACATTTCTTAACATCGCTGCGAGTTCGCCGCGGAGAGGACGGCTTGCCCGTGGACACTGTCATGTTCTGTTGATGACACGCCTGCAATGGCCGCGGGGACAGTTTGATGTGTTTATTGGGTGTACCCTGAAATAAAAGAAGATAAATTTAGTCGGACTGTATTTCCCGTAGTACCGGTTTACAGTCTGAACGCGCGATTACCTACCGGCGATTGCGAGATCGTAAACGTGTTGCTCGGTTCCCTGACACCGACCATTACGTTCTCGATAAAGTTACTCGCGGCAGGAGTCGCCTCAAGACGAAGCTGCTTTTGATACTCTGGGTCCTCGTGCGGCGGTCTTGCCATGTCCCGATGAGACATCGTGGGAGGTGAACTCATGTGATCCACAGCGACTTCCTGATAGTAGAATTCCTCCTCGTGATCATCCTCGCTGTCGCATCCCTTGGATTTCTTTGGGCTATAAAATAAAACTTATCTCAGTTTGCTTTCAGTCTTTGCTTTCTTATCCTCGGCATCGCACAACAAAATTTCAAAGTTGTTTTTTTCTCACAGAAAAATATTTTAATTCGTTACTTCCTTATATTCAGTTTTTCTCCTCTCTCTCTCGCACACTCTTCAAGTCAGCTGCTTCTATATCGTTTCTCATTTTAATTAATAGATTTATTTTGTTATTTATTTCGTGTTATTTCTTATAATAATATTTTTAATGATATTTATAATAATAATATTTATACCTGTATTATATTTTATTATTATTTACTATTACTTTTACTACAATGTATTTTTATCTATGTATAATCATTACATATGTATGAATAAATGTATGAGTATTATGAGTGCGTATGTATCTCTGTATAAATACAAGTATGTTATCTTATTAAAATCAAGCTAATGAATGTGCTAATATTTATTTTCGTATCAATGTTATTTGTACTTTTATTATTAATACGATTAGTATTCTTTTTCTCAAAATTTTGATGATTTTATTTTATGCATATATAGATAATCCTAAGTATAATCTAATGTACAGTAATACATAAGTCTGAGTGTTTTCCGTTTAGTGATACAAATTGACACCTATATATTCTACCCTTTTTGGCATTTCGTAAGAAACAAACACAGTATAAGTACCTGTCAATTTGTACCAAATGGAAAGCAACGAGCATAAAAATTAATCTTATATATATCGTGTTATTACTAATGTCATTGATGTGCAATTTTTTTACTATATTCCTATACTATACTGTTTTTTTTATGTATACGATATATTTAGACTCAATAAAATTATATATTATCGTTATTAATATTATATTTCATTAATCCATTTATAAGAAAAAATGTCAAGAAAAAAATCAAGAAAGATTGAATCGTCGCAAGAAGAGAGGAGAACTATAGAAATAATTGATATGTCAATTTATATAAATATTATGTAGACTTACGCAGATGGATACGATCATTTTGTTCCGTCATCAACAACTCCCGATACCGAAGTGGTGCGTTATGAGCCAGACAGCAATTAATTTTATAAGCTCTTGGGAGTTGCATACTCGAACTAGGGTATACATTCGTGCTGACGTTACAATGGTAACCGATTGTCAGCGCTTTGGCTCACGGAAAATATTTAATGTCAATAGCGCGCTCTTTCCCGGCTGTGGGACCAACTTGATGGCTTGACCTCGCGCGCGTATTCCGCCTCGACCTCATAATGCGTCTTAAGCTGGTTCTACATTAGTCGTATCGCAGCGTCGTAAGCGTTGCGGTCCAATCAACATCAATCTAGCTCGACTCTGATTGGACCAATGCTTGCGACACTACGATGCGATTAATGTAGAACCAGCTTTACGCTTACGTGCGAGGCACATATTACATCTAGGGTATTAACTTACCCCAGAAGCAGATGTGACTGGCGCACATGTTCTTCAATAAGTGCGACGGTCGCCTTGATTTCGAGGCAACCCGGCCAATTGCACTTGAAGACCACTGCCGCATTCGCCTGAAAACAGAAAGATGATAGTCGTTAATGATCATCGACACGAACGGTGTACATACATCACGTGGTGATAGACCCGATAGAATTCAATAGAACTTCGCATGTCCGTGAGAACTTCACGAAAGGGAAAAGGGTTATGTGTGTTTGTGTGTATGGGCAGCTACGATTTATTTCAGCAAACATTGTTCCCAGTTCCATAACCAATCGGCACACCGTGATGCAATTCGCGCATGGCTCACGCTGGCAGCAGGACTGCTTTTAATCATCGAATTGAATAGACTGTTTTCATCGATTGAAACACCATCCATGTAACATTTTCCAATGAACCCCCCATTCCAAAAATAATTAATATTCCCTTCATTTTGCTATTAAAATGATTCTAATATTTATCATTAATATAGCCCGTGTTTGCTAATTAAAATAAACGTTTTATTGTTTATTTTACCACACACATCAATACACTGCAGAGTTCAAAAAGCCCCCCCTCCCCCCCCCTTCCCTCAATATCCTAGAATCCTTCTATTTATTACTCCTTTTTGTATTTCAATTGTCATTAAATGGAATCATTAATTTTTACGCGTGATCGCAGATGAGATATCGTATGTTAATCTATAAGAATTCGAACATCTTAAGACAGCCCTGCGTCGGAGTCACGCCAAGCCGAGCAGAGAGGAAAATCGATGCCGTGCGGCAGCCGCGCCGCGCGCACGTTTCTTTGTTTACATCGGCCGGCCGGTAGCGGAGGCGCCGCGTTGCGCCGGTCACAACTTTACGGTCACGTGGTATTGATCGCAGGAGAGCGAGGAATACAAGCCCACGCGGTCCGCGACGATCGCGTGTTTGAGCGCGAAGGACGGGACTTGGCATTTCTCACGAGAGCGAGATAAGTCCTCCGCGCTCACGTCCTCACCTGCGTGTAATCGTCTTCTACCTGGGTGACGATTACCGCGGATGATACCCGGATCTTGCTTATCCCCGGGCGCACATCCAACGTGGATAGAATGACAATTGCAAGTCGCTCCGCTCAAGGGGATTCGGAGTACATTTACAAACGGATCAGTCTTAGCTTTTAATCATTTGATCGCATTTTCAGCAGTAACTATTGCTACAAAGAGTTAAGCGTAGATAGTAAATCGAAACGAATCTGCCTTGAAATAAGCATTGAATCGAATTTCGATATTTTATTAAGCGGACGCGAAAGTGTTACGTTTCTACGTTTATTTCTAACAAAGCACATCGAAAATCGATCTCGCCAGTTTCTATACGTGTCGACTTGTAAATTTATATAGATTTAGAGATGTTGATGTAGCTTGACGAGCATAACCCGGATGTGGCTAATTACTTGTTAACGGTTTTACAATCATCCCGGCGAGAGCACACGCGACGCGAACATTTTCCAACGTAACGGCCTGAACCAAGAAGACAATCATGAGCTCGTTAACACGCTACAGTGTAGGACGCCCCTTCAAAGCATTCCGGATTAATAAGCCGTCAGACTACAGCGAAAATAATTCGCTTTAAGTACGCATTCGCGCGATAGCACGTCGCCGAGCCGTTCGGTCTAGCTAATGAGCGCATGAATATTTACGAGTGACTTTAACGACTGCACTTAAGACACGATCTTGGAAACCGCACCACCCCACACCACCGTCGATCGCTTTCCTCAATTTTGCGCGGCTCGGTTTACTACGCGCCATTAACGCTCGCTTCTTTCGATTCTCACGCGGCATACCGGGTGGATGGCACGACCGACGCGTGACGGGATTAGAGAGAGAGAGAGAGAGAGAGAGAGAGAGAGAGAGAGAGAATGCGATGATAAGCGTTCGGAAGCGTATTGACTGAAAGGCGCGCGCGTGATAAGCGGGGTTGCGCCGTTCAGTCGCGGAGAGGCTACCGCTTCGGCGGGCTTTAAGGGCTTCGCTAGTGCAGTGACATCAGCTCCGAAACGGTACACCGGGGAGATACACCGGTGCGCGGTATACCGGGTGACGGGTGGCGAAAGACCGGCGACCGGAAACCCGTGATACGACGTCCCGCGTGTGTATCAATACGTCTGAAAGAGACGCGTCCACAGGAGGCGAGAACGTACCGTTCGGAAAGAGATTTTTCGACGATTTCGGAGACCTTTCGGTGACGTAGGTGACGTTATCTTTGAAACGGTACACACGCCGGGTACATGCCGGAACGGAACGGCGTATGCCGCGGCTCAGCCATTGCCGAGGTCACAGACCTTCTACGCCGGTCGGCAGGCAACGCTCTCCCTTTGCCTTGTCTTGCCTTGCCTTGCCTTGCCTTGCCCATGCCTCTCGGCGTTGGTTTGGCGTGCTCCGGAGAACTTCGCAGCAGTCCTCTACTCCTCTCTACTACTCCCTCCCCTTCACTCCCTTTTTCCACGACCTTTAGGATACGACGCGGTAATACCGATGGCATTAGTCTAGAGGGCACCACGCATTCCGATGAGCATCTTCGCGTGCGCGATAGCGGCCACTGATCGACGCCGATCTACTCTCTCAAATACTCTATCCGCAAAAGACAATGCATTAAAAATATTATTAATTAATTAGAGAAAGAGGTAATAACGGCAGCCGTTTTAACATTTGATCAGAGATGTTATGATAAATGCATGGTGTTTTGCAAATGTAATTTTTGTAATAGTCTACTGAAGATGGTCCAATTTAAACTAAACAATTTATATGACTAAAAATACAATTGTTTTAATTGAACTATTACTTTGCCAAGCTCATTACTTCTTTCTTTATTTAATTAATTGTTAATTGTCTGAGTTATACAATTAGCTATTTATTATAAAAATGTATTTTTTATAAGATTATAAAATATAGGATATATACAAATCATCAGATTAAAAGCATCCATGATTATTGAAAAAATTGCAATGGACAAAACCAATATTACTTATCAACATGTGATTATTGTTACGATTTATCATTTTCACGCATTAATTGTCTGACTGACTTATTTACAAAGTGTTCGATATTAATAAAGTATTCAAAATATAACAATATTTTCTACAGAGAAACAAAAGATTTTGCTTGAAAAGCATATCAAGATTATATCGCCAAATGCAGTTATTATATTGAACATCCCGTTGTGCATGAAGCGTAATAGAGACAGCGCGCTATCGCAAAATTCGATCAGGGGGAAGGCATCTAGAAACGTCCCAGGGGTAGTTACATGTAAAGCTCGAATCACACGATGCAACTATCACACGATTTCTTGAATGATAAGCATCCCAGACAACACGCGTTGTCTAAAAGAGCTTTTTTATGACGTCTTTTAGATATCTTTTGAACATGTCTGTCCCAAACCAATGTCTTTATAATGTCTTTATGACTTCTTTTAAACATGCATGTTATCGGAGATGCATGCTGCTATGCTTGCTTTGATATATTAATGTATTCTAGAAGTAAAATCCACTTAACACTGCAAACACTTTGAAGCATTCGTTGATTAGTCAATTCACAAAATTTTTCTTTCGAATGGTCAACGAAGCATTTGCAGCGTAAAGTGAATCGCATCTCTAGAAGATGTTTATCCAACAGAGTTAAGGCATAGAAGCATATATGCATGCTTATCAAGAATTAGTACATCGTGTGATTTCAGCTTAAGGAACGAAAATCTACCTCTGCATAGTTGTCATAAATTTCTCATCCTAAAATTCCATAACTTTTCCCTGACAATCAAAAATATTTAAAATTTTTTTCGTCCTGATTTTTGGAAACCGTTAAATATTTTGTTGAGAGATCAATTTAGCATAGCAATGTAAATTACAATTAATGTTACCGACATTACTTGCATTTTTTATCGTTGTAGTTAAATTGGTATTTCAAAACTGCGTAGGTGTGCCGTGCGTACATTCAACTTTAAAGCCAAGAATTTTAATATTCCAGAAAATTTTGCAAAAATCTTAGACTTTTCCCTGATAATTCTCCGATTTCTAATTTTTTTGTGGCAACCCTGTCCTGACGGCGTATCCTTTTCTTCGCTGCGTAGTAGGCCGAAGCGCGACGTGGATCTCGCGAAGCCATCTCCCGCGTGTTCGCGTGCGCGCGAATATCATCGCGCGCTTCTCCGTGCGCGCGGGGATGAGTAAGCCTCAAACGCGGGGTTGCCGCGACGAGACGGCCGGCCGCGGTGCGGCGCGGAATGGCGTTTCGTGGGCGCATCGCATGCGATACGACGTTGCCGGCGATAGAGATAGCCGCGGCGGCCCGTTGGGGATGCACACGCATCGGTCGGAGCGCGCGCACCGGGCATCCACCCCTACCGCGCGTCTCCCACTACTTCTGTGCACTGCGCAACGGCACGCGCGCGCGCTCACTACTCGCTCGCGAATATTCGCTTATGTGTATAATGCACACGCGCGCGCGCGCGCACGTCTCTGTACTGCGTAAAGATCCGAGGAGCGTTGTACAAAAATTACGCACGTGTTATCCCGACGAGACGTCCTTGCGTCATCGCTCCCCGGAGTCCTTTGATAAGCGACGTGTGGAAAATTTGTTGTTAAATCGTTTCAAAAACGAGAGACGCGGCCAATGAAATGGACTATACCGTGATTCGCCCCGCAGGAATGCGCTGGAAGTCAACGCCCCGAAGTTCGTTAGAGTGAATGAATCTCGATTCTCGAATCGGCCGTGCGTGCGCGTTCTTTTAAGCGAAAGAATTCGGCGCGGGGCGTCGCAATTCTATTTTCGGATATTCGACTGTATTGATGATTAATCACAATTCGAGCACCTACATGGTGCCGGCCGGCACGCAAAGTCTCGCCGATTACCAAGGCCGTTCTTGCACGCGTTTATTTGCAGGTTGTGCAAGGCTCGCCGTAGCGTTGTTCGCGAATCGAACGTTACGCGTACGCAGCACCGAGCGCCAACGCAAAAATCGATTCCGAACTACACGCTTGACGCTACGAGAGCCCGCTTTCCACGCGGCCTCTCGCTTTCTCCGCGCTAGTCGACTCGTGTCGAGTCGCCCGCCGGCAATTG